CAGGAATGGGAGGTGTAACATAAGTACATTCGATATGGGAATCACAGGATAACTCAGACAGGAAGGGACATCTAGAATCCTACCTATGGGCTTAGAGTTGCAGCCGCCTCATTTCCCCATCTAGAGCTGATGCTGCTGTAAGCAGCCTTCAGCCAGTTGCTCTGACAAGCAGCCCAGAATATTTCCCCTGCAGATGCCAGGAAGGGCCACTGTGGTTGCAGATAAAACCAACTAAGACTAGAGAGGGGGTGGGGAAAGAACTTGCCCAAGTAATTCACATGGATGCACTCTTACTATGCCCAAATGTCAGGGGAATCTAGCATTTGCATTTTCTCAGAAGCACACAAAACTGTTCGCAATGGCACTTGTTCCACTGGTACTTTTTAGGAGACAGGCACTGGCTGCAGGGTTCCTGACCTTAAAACACTCCAGTGCACATTGCTTCTGACAGCTAATACATCTTTGTTTACAGTGAGCCCCATTTCCCGGCAAACACTCTACTCCAGAGAGAGCAACACAGGAATGCTTTCCAAGCAACTGCTACCACCTAAATTCCAGATGTTGCAGGAGCAAAAGAAAAGCAACCCATCGTATAACCTTGTGCAGGTGCTCAAGGTTTGCCAAGTCACTGCGTTGATAATGTCAAGATTAAAAACCAGACAAACATGAGACACAAAACTAACACCATCAGGAACCTTCTTCTCAAGTGCACAGCAGAGCCAGTGCCAGTGCCTATGTACTGTCCCCAAGTTCTGGTGCAGCCAGGAAACTCACCTGTGGCTCCGGAGGAAACAGGGCCTTTGAGAGGCGGTAGAGGTTGCGCAGGTTGAACTGGATGCTTGTGTTGGTGACTCTCAACTCATGCATGTTTGTGGAACTGTCCCGTGGACAGATATCACTCTCTCCTGAGAATGGAGACACTGTGATTGTGTTCTTCAGCTCATATCGTGGCAAGTTGTCAGAAATCCCTCCATCAACATATCTCTGAAATCCAGACAAATGTAACAATCTTCATTCTCGTAACCGATCAAACAGCTTTTGTTGCTCTGTGTCCCTCTTTCTATTTGTGCCAACAACTTGGGAAGAGAATGGAGTACATCCACCAGCACTGGAGGAGTCAAAACCAGTGACAGCACAGCTGTGTCGTCTATAATATCCTTTTGCTATGTGCTTTTCTTCCCATGGCCGAGTCTGTTGGTCACAAGTGTTCACTGAGAAAGGCATACTCACTTGTGTGACTGCTGACTTACATCTCCTAGGGGGTTTGTCTGCTGTCCAATTAAATAATTGGACCAACAACCATCTGCAGTGCAAATTAGCCCTGACCTGAACTGCCACACTGTGACATTGTGCCATTTTTCACTTGTGTTTAAAATGAATAAGCTCAGACACAAGTCCCCACTGGCAGAAGGTTTGTTACCTAAGAGTAAAACCAGCTGATTTGTTGCTAGCAGGCTTATCACGCAGCAATCCCAACACATGCATACACGTTGAGAATTGACTTGCTGTGGTGTGATAACAGAGCACAAGGGACTTGTGTTTTGCTCTGAACAGGCATTCTCTTATCAGAGAATGTTCTGTACCTACATGCCATAAACACATTTGCTTTACCCTTGCAGGAAGGGCAACCCCAGTGGCATGTTCTCAAAATATTCATGGGTAACTATAACTGCACAAGGAGCTGAGCAAGATGATCCCTATCACAAGTCTTTGGCAGAGTAAACAACATGCAGAAGATAAAAGAAAAAGGATGTTGGTCAAGCCAAAAGAGCAAGAAGTTTGAGACCTTCGCAGAGCAACAACTTCAGCTCTTGTGAACCTCAGTTACAGAAGAGTCTTGCTGATTTTCTATGATTTTTCCTGCCATTTGCTGCTTGGATCCCTTCCCCTTTGGACAGGTTCAAACAGATCATCACACAGGGCCTATGCAGCCCTGTAAGTAGCAGCAGCTGTAACATCCTGCAGCTCTCTGCTGCATGAGAAGCTGACCTAGTAGAGGCTAAACCCAGGCAGAGCATGGAAATGCTGATTGAAAGAGGAGGAGCAGTGACCTGCTTCGTTTAAAGAAAAAGGAGGTGTTTTGGCCATTTGGGCACCACTAGTTTTGCAGTAAGGATGTAGAAGCACACGCCTCCCTGGGGGTGGCAGCATGAGTGCACAGATGGCGTTAGAAAAAAGATTTAACTACAGTAAGGCTGACAGGCAAAGCCTTCTTTCTCGCTCCATAGAAATCCAGAAATACCCATGCAAACGCCCTCTCTGACCCACCACTTCCCAAGCAATGCTGGTAACCACTCCTTAGTAAAGCTCATCTGCTACATCTCTGGGTTTGCCTGAACTTCCAACAACCCAAGCCCAACCACTCTTCAGCCTCCTGCAGAGCCCCAAACAGCACAGGGCCACAGGCTGGAGCCACGAGCTACCTGCAGGCAGCAGCAGCAGCAGCTTTAGGGGCTGGTTCATGGACTGGGGTGCCCAATTCCACTCCCTTATCATGTCCTCTCATGCACAGGGCCACTTTCTCACATTTGACAATTAGCTTTTTGACCCTTGTTAGGGGTTCATCTCTGTGCCACACACAGTTCACAGCTAGAGCATGTGTTGACAGATAAGTTATTGACCCTTGCATTCCTCAGTATTTGAGAATTTCCCCTCTCCATCCCCATCTCTATCATCCACTCCATGGGACTACCAGACCTCAGAGAAGTGAACACTGGAAAAATATGAGAAGGAAGGCAGAACATGGATTGCACACAATCATATTGCCTTGAAAACTGCTCGTTGTACCAGGCCTGTCAGTTTATCCTATCAAACAGCCACCACAGGCATGCCAGGAACCATGCAATCTTGTTTCAAATTCATTTCCCAAGCTCATACCCAACCTAACTTAACCTCTAGCCCGATCAGCAACTCCCCTACAGTTCCATGCTTTTCTAGGGAAGAGGTAGGAATTCATTTCCTCATCTCATATATTCCCTCCCCACCTTTCCCCATGAGAAGCTATCATATCAGTCAGTGTGCCAGGGCAGCTGCACATTCCAAAGGCCCTGACGTTGTACACCATTTGGGAATTTTGACATTTTGCCTGATCCATACTGACCAAAACTAGCCCCAAAGAGGTGTTAGGCAAGAGCCACTGCTATGCTCCCACCAGCTGTGGGAAACAAGCCCTGCCTGCAGTTGCTGAGCAAATACCAAACCATTACTGATTCTGTCACTTCTCTGAAGGGTTGGACATTGGACATCTCTTCCAGGTCATTTCCCTGCCCAACATGCTTGCACAAGACAAAACCAGCCAAGTTGTATATTATGCAGGAGCAAAACTGACCTCACTTTTAGGACATGGGTAACAATGGGAGCAGATTTGATGCTGCACTCTGGTATGACAGAGGCATCTCAGTCAGGCCACTTAAGAGAAACCAGGGCGCACATATTTAATAACAGTTCTCCCTTTCCCTTTTGACTACTTAGTTTGCAAAAACCCTGTCTCTTAACATGTACATTAACCTATGGAGCACAAGGGGAGTCCAAGATCAGTTGATGCACAAGTGCAATATTCATAAACCTCCAGCTCTGCACAGCTTTCAAATGTTCTCATTTCTAACATGCAGATAGAGAGAGAAATTGCTCCTGGACAAGATGTTAAAGCAAGCAGCAGAACATTATTCTCAGAGAAAAGACAGGAAAAGAAGGCTAGTATCAGCACTACTAGTTAAAACACCACAGAAAGTGTCAGGCACATGGAAAAGGGACTACACTCATGTCTATCCTGGATTCAAGTTCTTTCCACGTGCAGAGTGGAAAGAAGTGGTGGAGAGGAGCATTGTACCATGCAGCCATGGGAACCATCTGCTAAACCAGCCAGTGCTTACCCAGATTTCTATATATTACTATCATGTTAAATCCACTAGTCTTCAGGACATTTATAGCCAACTGTGGGCAGCAGTGGAAAGAAAGCACATCCACTGTTGGAAGTTGTTTATTTGGGAATTACTCATGTGTCTTCAGGCTAAATGCTGCCAGCAGACAGGCAATAAGATTGCCAAAACTAAGTATCAGCATTTCTGCCTTCTTACCCATTAGTATGTGATTTAAGGAAGGACCATCTCAGAGTCTAACTTACCACTCCACGCAAGGTTGGAGGTATCAACCCACAGTAGACAGGGATAAAGGTGCTGCAGACACAGGCCTGAGGGAGAAAGAGATCCAGAATACAAGAATCAGATCAAAGCGTACTGAAACTAACACTCTTCTCAGAACACCACATCAGCATGTGCTGATAATTGAACTCTATTACTAAGGCCATTTGGAGCCCAAGGCATTTCTGCCGGCCCTTCTGCAGTAAGTTTCCATTCACCTGGATCAGTTCCTCCTTGGAAGTGAAGTCTGATAGTATCACATTTTCTCCATCGGAGACCCGTGTCAGGGAAATACCCAAACGACCTGCTGCAACCTCATGCCCATTCTCTGGCAGAGTCTTGGTCAGGCAGATCCGAATGATCTTCACCAAGTTGAAAGAGGGATGGAGTGGGCCCAAGAACCTTTTCCGGGCTTCTTTGGACACTCGAATAATGCTGGCACCAGCCTCACCTGCAATGAGAGAGAGAAAAATGCACCATGAAATCCTAGCAATGCCAGTCTTCTCCTCTGCACAACTAGGTACAGGAAAGCCTCATCCATGGCTTTACTCAGAGGTTTCTCCCCACTGGCTGATGTACAGCTCAAGCCAAGAGGCTATTACAGGTGGTGTTACAGAAGCAATGGAAATTTGCTGCCTTGGCCCTCACACTCCTGTTTTTAAGAGTTTCCGTTTACAAAGTCATGGAAGATCACATGCATCTGGCTAAGGCCTCACACTTTTTCTTGGATCCTGTTTCACTCCAGTGCAGGGCTGGTAAAAACAGACTAAGAAAGAAAACAAGGCAGATAATTTAATAGCTTTGAGCTTATGGCTAAATCCAATTCAAAACATATTCCACTACAAATCCTTTCTAATAAGCACCTTTTTTTTCTGACAAGAAAAAAAGGTCATCTGCTGATAAGCAGAAGTGACAGTAAACAGGAATGCTGGTGCTTTCCAGCAAAGTGATCCCAGCTCTGTTGTCAGCCACATCTCATGTGAGAAAGATGGACTAATACTCCACTAGGGAATCAGTGATTTAGTGCCTCCTGCAGAGTCTCTGGTGTCCCATCCCTTCTGAGTCCAATTCCACAGGCCCTGATGGCAAGTAGGACTCATGAGGGCATGCTTGCTTTCCCCTTTCCCCTGGTGACCCAGCTGGGTTTGAGGAGAGGAGACATCCCATCTGCACAAAAGGGAAGGCATCTGCTAAGCCCATTATCTCACGGTCAGTAGGAGCCCAATCTGGCAAGTGCATCATCAGAGCTCTCCAGTGGGGATAAAAGGGACAGGAGGAAACAAAAATATCAATTTAAGACAAACCCTTAGCATCCAGCATGTTGCCCTTTGCACACAGATTATTGCTTCCACGCATGTCCTAGCCATGGTAAGATACAAGTTCCTCTAAGGACCAGCTAACCACTGCATGTGCAGGAGTGTCAGGAATATGCGTGTGAGAAGAATGTGAGGAGGAAAATTAAAGAAACAAGGAGAAAAAAGAGACATGCTTTCACAAATGAAGACCTCTCTCCAATCCAACTGAAAGGCAGTTCCTGGAGGAAGATGAAAGACTCAGTTCAAGCCAACTGGAGTCCCTCCATTTTGCTCTCCCACCCAGTCTTTCAACTGCAGAAAGGAGGCAGCAGAATGAAAGAACACAAGTTAGACCCAGGTTAATAAATACAATGGAGATAAGTGCAACAACAACCTCAATGCTGTGTTGACACATCCCACTCTTTTGCAATACATGTGTGCCAGCAACATGTTTTTCCATCATCACAGCCTGGGAATGTGATTCTGTGCTTAGGAAACCCAGCAACACCAGTAGCTCAAGCACACAGAGAACTGGACCCATGAACATGAACAGAAACTACCAAGGTCAGGATTTTAGGCACTGTGAGGTAGCAACTTAGCAGAAAAGCCAAAGTTCCCCCCCTCTGAAGCAATTTTTAGCACTGTAATCTCAGTCTTCTGCTCTGTCCTAGAGCAATGTTTAGCAGTCTAATTCTGATCTTTCTTAATTAGCAGTAAGCCATTGAGCCCAGCCTGTTCCAGATAGTAGCCACATGGTTCAATATCCTTCCCAACATCAAGTCAGCCTTGCAGAAATTACACTTTATAAGCATTACAAAATTAGCACTCACAACTAGAAAGAAACTGCAATAGAGCCAAAAACCCAAATGAATCCCAGCCCAGTACCTTGGCCACATGACCCCAGAAAACTCTGCACTGAGTGCACTGCAGGGAGTTGCTGGATTTGTAGGAATACCCAGCAGGAGGGTGTGTGTTGAGCATGCAGCTGTGGGGGGACACACTGTGTGCAAAGGCCAAGCAGGGGGAGTGTTTACAGAGAGATGCTTTCAGGCTTCACATCTCAGTGTGCACAAAGGCTTGATAGCAATACTGAAAACAACTGCAACTCAATTGAGCATATGACTGTTTGAGGAAAAAATGTGAGCTAGAAGGGTTTTTTTAAGAAAAACAAAAGAGCCAAGTCCCAACTATGCCAGGAAACAGACTGTCCCAGCATTTGAGGGGAGAGTCTAGCCGGCTCTGCCACTATTTCACACCCAAGAAGACAAAGTAAGAATTACTGCTAATTAGCAATTTCATTCTTTGAATCCTTTCTGGGTGTTGATGGGTTTGGGTTCCTTTTATATCTGTGTGTGTACATGCACACCCACAGGAGCTTTAAGAGCACCTCTGGTTCTATTGGATTTGCTGGCTCACTTGCACCAAAGCTGAGTGTGGAATATCTCTGTGGGAAGAGATGGGCACAGAGTGACCTGCAGCTTTCCTGGAAATGAGGCTAGCTGAGGGTTCAGCCAAAGAAGCCAGGTTTACATAGCCAGATCCATGACAAATGACAAGCCCTCTTGGCAATACATCTGGGAGGAGAGAGGTGACAATGTTTTCACCCTGTTACTACCAGAAGTGCTATTCCAGGAAAAGCAGTTCAAGTTCTGCTCACAGCCTGACAGAGGGAGCAGCTGAACCAGGGGCGGTCAAGACAGATCATTCCTATGAGGGTCAGCCACAAGCTGTCAATTATTACTAGGACTAGCCCAGTGCCAATTTCAGTCCACAGAAAAGAAAGTTTCACATGGTCTTTCATGGATCTAGGGCCACATGAAAACACTAAATGAAATTTCTCTTCCCTTATTGAGGTATGTACCAAGGGGCAGAGGAAATCCCTAACAGCTGTCACTGCTTGCTGAGAAACAATTTCATTCTCCTCTCACCAACCAATTAATTCAACACTTCTCCCTATACAGATTTACTAAGCCAATATTCCTCAAAAAATTTAGATGTGCAGAATATTTAATTAGAAAATCATATCCCCCTTTGTCCCCACCCCCATCACTGCCCCAGATGGGGGTGTTATACACGAACTCAAGTACTGCAGGGCCATTGTCCTCATTTGAATTTCAGTTGTGGTGATGCAAAGGAGCATCATGCGGTCGTGTCCTGAAACACCCCAACGTGTCCCTTGCCAGACATGGAAGGCCAGTTGCTACCCATCTCCTGGTGGTCTGTAGTGGCTACAAGGGGCAAGATACTCTCACCCATGGGAAAAGCCTGAAGGCAGCTGCTAGTTTGCTTTTCATTTTTAAGCTATATTAAGCCAGCTTCAAGTTAGCTTATTGACATAGCAAAATAGTTCCCTTAAAGAACTGGCTTTCACCTCTACCAGTCGTGCTCAATCCCAAAATAACCCAGTAGCTAAGTCTGTACTGCCTTGCATCCCCTAAACTCTAACCTGAACAGCATTCGAGCAGCACATCCTATTTATAACTGTAAACAAACAAGCCACAGCAGCCTGCTGCTACTCTGCCTCTGGAACAGAGGACCTGGAGATCAATCACCCAAAACTGATGTTAGCCAGGCAGTTAGGAAGACCCTTAACTGCAGCTAAGAGTTCTGGGAGGGAACAAAGATCCACATCTGCAGCAGTAGGGCTTTTGCAACAAGGGCACTATGAGTACCCTGTTGATGTTAGACCACACTGAAATCTGCTTGCCAGCCAGGAAAATGACAGATGACCCACAAAGTATTTCAAGTGGAAAAAAAAAAAAGCCTAAGGGACAAAAATAGAGCAGGCTGAAGAGGGAGAGGGGCATTCTGGATATTCCACCCAGCAGCTCACCCGTGACACTGCAGCTCCCTCTGGAAGAGCTCCATATCAGC